CACACACACACACACAGGAAATGTCTAGATTTATTAACTGCAAACCTAATAATTTATTGAAGGTCAGATCGAATCAATTGTGACTGAGGAGAATAAAAATTAAAACATTAACAAAATCTAAATCACAAACATTGTACCATTAAAAAAATAAATAATTAAGACATTTTTGCAAGGAACAAAATGGCAACTGAAGGAAAAAGTAAGTCACTTTCATACTATATTAACAGTATTACAATAACCAACAATTTAGATCATGTTGAAATGACCCATTGAGTTGTTTGGGGTTGAAGGTTTTGAAAAGAAACACAATAATACAGTACTCAATTTACTTTTTTTTTCATTATTGAAATTAGCATTTTCCCTTTCTTTTTAGACAAACACGCACGCGCACGCACGCGCACACATACATACACACACACACACACACACACACACACACACACACACACACACACACACACACACACACACACTAATAAAATGCAAGTTTATCAATGCATTATTACCCCCCTTCCTTTGAGGCTGACATTTTCTTCATTTTTTTGTGTCTGTAGCCATGAATAATTCACTGAAATACCAGATTAAGGCTTTCTTTTGCAGTTGCTTAAATTAGTCATTAGTTAAAATAAATAAAGACAATGCATTTTGCACTAAAAGAACATACTTTAAACCGCTAAAAATTCCTTACTGTGTCGAGATTTGAAAACAAATTTAAAAAATTGAAATAACAAAATCTGATTAAAATTTTTTAAATTGGTTTATTTAAAAAAATCAACAAAATCTCCAACCCTGCTAATTAGTCAGCATGTTTTTATTTTACACACATTGCTGTTATTTTGCTTCACTTTCTGTTCTTGCTGTTAGTTATTGCACTTGTTCAACTCAAGTTAGACCTTCATTTATTGTGTCATGGTTGTTTGTCCCAAACAGAGATGTTCGCTTTTCAAGTTAGACTAGAGTCTGCATTTTTAAATATCCTTTTAGGGATTTTTCCTTTTATTTTTGCATTTTGTCTTGATCTTTTCTGTGTCTAGTGTGTTTTCAAATCAATAAAAAAAAGATAGTGAATGGACATGACCAAAGTTACACCAAAAGAGAACAGGTTTCTATGTCTTCGTTCTTTTCAGAATGTGTCCAGTATTCCAAGTGTCCAACGTGACGGGGGAAAATCTGAATCTGCTGAAAATGTTCCTGAACCTTCTGTCCACTCGGGTGAAAGGTGACCTTACGGAGCCTGCCGAGTTTCAAATAGATGACACCTTCTCTGTGCCGGTAGGTCTCTTTTTCTTTGTCCTCTCATGTTTACTTTTTGAATACTCCTCTCAATGTTTTCCTTTCTCTTCACTTTTCAATCCACTCTTTACTTTATGATTACTTCAGTCTCGATGCACCAGATTATAGTCGCATACACCCTGGTGTGCAGGACATGTAGTGTCAGTGCTGAACCATTAGCTTACTTCTAAGAGTATTCTATAGCAATGTACGTAAAGTGCGTTGCCATGGTGGCGAGAGCATTTTTAATGTCTTCCTGAACTGTTCAAGAAAAGTGTTTCCTCCTCCAGAAACCTATGAACAGAGTACCATGGAAATTAACACTTTGCTACCTCTCTTTGTAGAGTCTTTTGGGAAAAAACCAGATCAATATTTGCATGCGGAAAAGATGAGGACCTGAAAATACTTTGGAAAACATCATCTCTATACCTTGTTCCAACTATAATCGCTAAATCCATGCAGGGATAAGCCTTTTGCATTATCTGCGAACCAGCAGTCAGCCCTGCCCTCTTCAATGCCAGTATGGCTGAAGTAAAAAAAATAGAGCTAACGTTCCAACTACACTTTATTTTCTATCTGTACCCAGCACTGTGAAGTTACTCTTGAATTTTTTTTCTCTCTTAACATCATTCTTACTCCTAAATGTTTGTGTATTCTTAACTTCATAAGTGCCTGAAAATTCTACTTACACTTTTATCTTAATGATTGAGTTATGATTTTTGGCACATTTAATTTTATGTTTGCCTCAAATTTTGGTATACCCTCTACTTTGTGATACTCTTATATTATTTACCTCTTTAGTTTATTTTAAGGTTTTGTACCTAATCTTTTTATCTACAATAAAATTTATTATTATTTGTAATTATTTCTCTATTTTAACTTATGATAACACTTAATTTGTTCATCTTCACTTAACTTCACGGTTCCTCCTGACAGTCAACAACTTTAAGACTTCTGTGTACTACCATATCTCACAGAGTCAAAGAGCATAGTCCTAACTCTTGCTGGATGGATCTGAAAATAACACATATTAACATAACAACAATACATTAAATCTTCTTTCATCGCAGGGTGTTGGAACTGTAGTCTCAGGCACGTTACTCCAAGGTCATATCAAACTGAATGATACATTACTACTGGGGCCCGATGCTCTTGGTCAGTTCATGCCGATCCCCATCAAGAGTATCCACCGAAAGAGAATGCCTGTGAAAGAAGTCAGAGGTGGCCAGACTGCCTCATTTGCTCTAAAAAAGGTGTGTTATGTTATTTTTCCTTCTTGTTTTGGCTGTTATTATTTTATGACTTCCAAGATACTTGAAATGTACCCATCTTGTCATCTCTCTTAGGAGCAAAGGAAGGTGGGATTAAACAAACTTTATTGAAAGCGTGAGTCTCCAACAACTTTAATTATATTATATTATATTATAAGTCTTCTATTAAAATGTGTTGTACTTGTACTAAAACTAAAAAGCAACTGGACAAAAAAAATAACTTTTCAAATGAATATTTTAAATACTTGAAGGTGTCTTCTTGTAGATTACGCTAGAGATGAAAAAGTACAAAGAAAGGTGCTAAACTTTACTCAAAATGAAAGATCACAATTTTTAGAAATGAAAGAGTATAGAGATCTGTGAAAGCCTGCTTATTTATTTCTGTGAACTGTTTTTATAGACTGGCTGAGCCTCATATGTCATATTCTTTTTACAGAGTGGCCAGTCGCCTGATCTCGAGTGGCTAGTGTCGGATTACACGACTGAATTCAGTCGATTAGCCTGATGCTACTGGCCCGTGGGGATTTCTGCACTTTTTCTGGGTGAACAAATTCGGTTGATTAGCTAGACCTGCGGCTTCTGGCCCCTGGGGATTTCTGCGCATGTTCCGTGTTCTGGCACATAGATATTTTTGCACATGTTCCATGTTCTGGCCCATGGGGATTTCTTCGCATGCTCCTTTAGAAATCGCTTGATCTATCGCGCAAGATTCACTCACTCAGTCACTCCTTGTCCTCCAAGTCAAATGTCGGATCGGTCAACATGGCAGCTGGATTATATGTAGGTCAGCTTGTGAACCGACACAGTGAGAAAACTGTAATTCTAATAATACCCCCCCCCCCTTTTTTTTTCCCTCTCTCTCTCTCTCTTTCTCGTTCTCACTCTCTCTCTTTCTTTCTCTCCCCCCCCTCCCCCCCTCTCTTTCTCTCTTTCTCTCTCTGCCTGCTGACAAAATTTCTCGCTTTCAACTCAGCACTGGAATGTTTGTTTACACTTGTATCTCGGGCTGTCACGCACTAAGACGAGGTAGATCTAGCGCTCAAGTCTTGTTCGGACGCGAGATAGGGCAATTGAAACATCTTGGCAGTAGTTAGACAGTCTTTGATAACATCGCGACGCTGCATTTCTATTGTTAGTAACTTTGTCATCGGCATTCCGATGAAGGATAATAATTAAATAATAAAGGGTGATAGATCTAGGGGATCAAGTCAACTCGCGAGGAAAACCTGAGAAGACGACAAAAATAGATGGTGGAAAAACTTCATCTATGATCTCTTTTGGGCCAATCACAGAGGTGTGCTAGGTGCTCTCAATAGCTTCATGTCGCTGGGAAGGCCTCGAGGCCGTGTTTACGCTAAATATGGGGTGCCTACCCACTATGGATGGGATCGGGCTGATCCAGCCGTAGTGGGCATCCCGTATAAGACTAGGCCTAAGTCTAGATCTAGGTGACCGGCTCCGGGTGGGCAGAAAATGGCTAGCCATCTGAGATCAGGCGACTAGCACCGACCTTCGTTTTATTGTGTTGACCAACTACTTTTTTTCCCGTGGTCAGATCAAACGAGCATCAATACGAAAAGGCATGGTGATGGTATCACCAAGGCTTGAGCCCAAGGCGTGCTGGGAGTTTGAGGGAGAGATTCTTGTCTTACATCACCCGACCACGATAAGTGTCAAGTACCAAGCCATGGGTAAGATTTCTTTCTCATTGTCGTTTCTACCTTCTTCCGTCTTCTTTTACTGTAGCCGTTGTGGCAGAGACAAGAGCTCTTTCATTAAAACAACCAAATTCTTTTCCTTGGGGTGATAAACTCATGTATCAATATAATATATAAAATCTTTGTGGCTGATAGTGTTTAGTGGTCCATTTGTTTGTATTGTATAAATAACAGCACAGTAGTAATACATTTTTTGAGGCCAAAGAAAGGAGTGTCTCCTTAGAACTGCCCTATGCTTTTGCATTCTCCCGCCTGTTCTTCCTCGTGGTAATTTGTCTTTTTTAAAACGTAAGAGTGTCTTCCTTGTTATTGTTAAGTTGGAGCTGTGTTCTTTACTTTTGTTTGGTTTTATTAGCAATTGCATTTTACAATGCTGGATGTTAATTTGTGGATAAAGTTGGTAGTCACCCCCCAAAAAAACCCCCCAGAAAGACGAGAACAAAGCAAACAACAACAATGCTTTGGATAATTTCTGATGTGATGAGGGATTTATAGCTTTCGCTTTTTCAACACTAAGCTTATATTCAAGAGGCAGGATATCTGATTTGATGCGTATTTCTGCTCAGACCGACTCTTAAGGAAATGAAACCAGGAAGTTCTAAGTGTAACTAAAAATTTTTCTTCCTCTCTATTTGATTCTCTAGTTCATGTTGGCAGCGTGAGGCAAACGGCAACCATCATCACCATGACAGAGGAGCACCTCAGGACCGGAGACAAGGCCACTGTCAGGTTCCGTTTCATAAAAAATCCCGAGTACCTCAAAACGGACATGAGAATGGTTTTCCGAGAGGGTCGAACAAAAGCGGTGGGCAACATCACTAAGCTGTTCCCCCATGTTAGTGCTGTGGCTCAGAACACTCGGCATCAGCGCTCGGCCAAAAAGTCGCAAGACATCAAACACTCTGTAAATCCACAAAACGAACCCCAGAAAGCCAGCAAGAGAAATCGCCGGGCTAAAAAAATGCCAGACTTTGACGATGGAGAGGGTAAAGACACGCCATCAACAACAAACTCGATAACACCACGGGTAATGGATGAGTCATCGTTAGCAACTTGCTCGTCATCTTCAAGTCCAGCACCATCATCAGCACCATCGTCAGCAGCAGCAGCAGCAGCGGCAGCAGCAGCAACATAAGTATAAACTGGAACTTTTTTGTTAGGGTTATTTTTAATTTAATTCCCAGCGATTTGATATGAAGTTTGCTAGTGGCATAATGGTATTTTTGACCATTTGAACGACTGCTTTGTTGTAGAGCTTCAAAATGTCTCATGTTTTTCATCTTGTTAAAGTTTGACGCTTGATGGAATGTTGCCAGTTTTTTAATGATTTGTCTGAAAAGTGGGTGAAAAAGTAGGGCTCTTTTAAGTGATTGAGGAATTACAATAGTTTCGTATTCCCCAGTGCTGCTGCTGTAGGATACTCAGGTGTCTACTTTTATCTTCATATGAGTATGTACCCGTTGATAGTTATTGTAAGTAAGATCTTCTTTGTATCTTTTAGTGAGACTGGTTTTTTACAAAACATTTTTCTTGCCACTGCATTTTCCATCATGATTTTTAAAGTCAAGACTAGGTGTGAGAAATTTTAACACTTTGAACAAGTTTATGATTTGTGCCGTTTTTGCAATTTGAAGTAGGGCCTAATAATAAATGTTATCAAAGAGAAGAAGTGAATTTTTATGCTCTTTGCATGTGAGTTTTTGTACATTTTTTGGGAGAACGTACCTGATCACTTTTATGTGTGAACCTTTCTGCTGGTTTTCTGTAATTTTGTTGAATAATAAAATGTATGTGAAGGGTTTGATGGTAAGAAAAAAACAGTTGTGCTTCAGAAGGGTGGTTGATGGGGTATGGATGGAGACTGCAAAAACCTGTGTCTTAATTTTCCTTTTCTCTATATCTTGTTTCCCTTCTTTAAGAATTTATTGTATATATGAATCTTTTAATCATTTGTGGCATTTTTGTTCTAGTTCTAGTCCGTTGAATGCATTGAATTGGTATATTTGGTCGTTTACATTTTATGGTTATTTTCTGAGATCAAGGTTTTGTGCAGGCATCACCATTTTTTGAGACCTGATTTTTAACTTATAGAAATTAAGTATTGTGAGTTGTGAATGATATATTTAAGAAGGAAAATTTTGTCTGTAGTGGTGTAAGTTTCTACTTCAGATTCAATGAAGTACAGTTAGAGGGATGTGGATATATTTTTAAATTTTATTAATGAGAATTTTTGTTTATCTTTGGATAGTTTCCTCATCTGTTTCTTTTAATGCCATCTTTTTATGTTGTACCTCTCTTATTAAAGATCACTTTTATCACAAAAAGTAATTACTGAGGCTCATAACAAGTGTTTTATTTTTAAAATGAAAATGTAATCAAACATAGGGTCGAAACTGAAACTTTGACTGAAGAGTATGAAACCCTTTCTTTCAATCTGTAGCTTGGTGTGTCTGGAAGGAAAACCAAGGTTGAAAAGTTATTTAAAGGAGCTGGACACTGGAAAAATATTCGCCTGCTCAATTGAGTTTGTGTTTTGTCTTGCTTGCATTCTAAGGTTATAAATCTATTTTTTATGAATGGTTGGCAGTTTTAAGTAGCGACTGGAAGCTACTATCTGTTTACGTCCATTTGGTTTTCTCTTTAAAAAAAAAAAAAAATCTATGGTATTTCAATTCACCATTAGTGCTTAAAGAAATTATATTATACTATAGTAGTCTCTGTCTGAACTCACGATGCTCGGAAGAGCTCCTACGCGTGCGTTAACTCGGAGTGTGTGTTTATGTGAACGTTTGTAAAGGAGGAAAGGGACGCAAATATCTCATTTCCTTGATATTTTAGTGACCTCCCTTGGGGGATAGGGGGCCACTTTTAATGCGATGAAATTTGACTGCATTTTGTAATGGATTCCCCGATCGCTGTCACGTCTACAAATATGTTAATGGAAACTTGGAAAAAAGCAGAAAGACAGACTCACTGGTCGGATGCACACTAACATGGCAAGAAAAGATTATAGGACGCTGTTGGTGATAGTCATCGTTATAGGGAAGAGTGCTCAGCCACGCAGCCACTCTTGATTGCCTTTCATCTTTGTAACTCGGTAAATGCATGGATAACATCAGACATTCTGAGAGATTTTTCTCTGGTAATTCATTGACCAAGTGCGTTATAATTTCTTCGAGAACAGCTGATCTTAAGCTAAAACAGCACCTGGACATGGATGGCTGGTGCCTCTATGAATAAATCATTGATGGTCAACTGCTGATCACTTGACCAATCTTTAATTCAAAGGCCTATCCAGTATTCTACAGCATTCATGCGTATTGCACATCATAATTATGCACAAGCTTAACTGAACATTAGTCAACTAACACCAGTGAGAAACCTTCTCTCAAAGATGCATTTCGAGTGACCAAGCAAAAGATGTTTCATAAGTCATCCTCTAGATATATCGTTCTTCCAGTCCTATAGTCATCTGTGTCTGTTGACAGTAGGGTGTAAAAACACTCTCCATCACTCTCTTTATCTTTGTTCTGAGTGAGGGGAAGTCTCGCCCAATATCCAGTTGTCTAGAATTGTCTTATGCAAGCTGTGTAGGTTGTAGCGAAAATTTCCTTTTGTCAAACTGTAGCTATTGATGTGCTTGCTGGATTGAAACGTGCATTAAGAGGAAGTGACAGTGCATTTATACTTATACATGTTAGTCTCTAAATTTTATTTAATTATTCAGTAAAATAAAAAGTCATATAGATGACAAAAGCGTGCGTTTGATTGGAGCATGCCTTTGCATGACGTGCGTTAGACAGAGACATCTGTAGCAAGTTTCTTTTTATCATCACAGTTGGGCAAACCATATTTATTGGTCAATATCATAAATCTCTATAGAATTTAAGAATAAGTTGAAAAGGCATAGAAAGAACATCTTTTCCAAAGTTCTGTGTCGACCAATTTTAATATAAAGGTTGTCAGTTTGTCATTTTGTTGAAGTTACTCTAAGGCTGCAAATTAGCTTTTCTCATGGCTCTTGCTATGCCTTAAAATTTGAAAACCTTATGAAGTGTGGAGATTTACTGTACCCTTTGTGCTGTGTGCCTGATCGCTATACATGTTGTCGTATGATTTCAATTTTTTTACTCTATGCAAAGAAATCAAATAGCATAAAATTTATGTGTCTCATCAAATCAGCATTTTGGCAACACAGCAGAACATGTGTACCAGTGTATATTCTTTTTTTATACCAGCTATACAAAGAGCATATGATACTGAAAGTACTTCAAGCCTGTTAGGCAGTGGGGAGTATCATTCTTTGTTATTCTTGGAAAGAAAACTGAGGTTTATCTGTACACCATACGAATACGAATGTTTTGGTGTATTGTTTAGGTCTATTTGTTGAAATCAGATAAATTGTTGGAACTGTACCTTGTGTGAAACTGAAAATGCTCTTGAAAATGTCGGTCTGAAGTTCTTAGAAAATCTGAGCTTTTTTGCTGTTAAGAGATTTTTCCTGTAATCTGCTGTGCTCCTCTATGTACGTATGTTTTGATGGACATGTTAGAATAGAGAAAATCAATGAATGATCAAATAGGTGCAGTTCTTTACAGGCTTTTACCATCTTGAATTTTAGAGGGTCGTTAAAATTAATTTTATGGTTTTAAAAAGCTGTTTTAGTTCCAAAGGAACAAATGTAAAAATCATTATCCTTATGAATGCTATCTTAAATGTTTATGCCACCTTTATTTCTTCAGTTACAAGCTAGGCTGAGATCTTTAAAAAAAATGTAAGTTTGTGTTTTTACTTGCCGTCTATTCTATCATTGCAGTGTGCCATGGACAAAGTTTTTGTACAATTTGTGAGTATAGACCTTTGCTAGACCCATGATGACTTTTTGCTAGTCACTGGCTACTTTTAATGCACTGAATCTCCATCGTCACACGACATCTTTGAAAATACTTTCTGTGTGTCCATATTGTAGAGATTTATACTTCCACCTCGGAAAGAAAAGTCCGAAAACCTTACCTCATCTTCACCCACATACCACTTTCTGTTGAAAATCTGTCACAGACTACAGCTTTGATCAAGTCAAGTCTCTGATTTGCCAAAAGGATATTACGCCTTGCTTTAAACTTTGCCCCTCATCCACCCTCATGTGTAATGCGTTTCATCTGAATAAAATTCGATACATCTGAACATGAAATTTTTCAAGTGTGTTTCTTATTTTATTTTCATGTTATGTTTTTGAAAACCTCGCTTCCAGGTCAATAATTTTGGTAATCTTCACTCTGTTGGCTTGAGATATGGGGAGTCTAGATTCTTGGAATCTTCAGGGTAAAACGGGGGGAGGGGGG